AAGATAACATGTCAAAAGGAAAGGGTTAAGATGGAATTTTGCAAAGAAAAGTAGATCAATTAATATAGATACAACTAGTACTGTATTCAAAATCCTTTAGTCTAGATTAAATTATTACCTAGTGAGTGTCAGGTGAAAAACAATGTAAAAAGCCTAGCTTTAATTGCTAGATAGACAACAATATGCTGAATCCCCCATAACATTGAAACGTCAATATTTGCTCGCTTGTTTTATTGTCATTTAACACATACATTTTATTTGTTTATTAAATTTGTTTGCTGCCCATATCACTTACAACATCAAAATAAAACCATATATACATATACATAGTTAGAACAGCAGCTCCCAACCTTTTCTATACCCCCCACCCCTAGAATGCTTCTGATTTATTCTCGCACCCCTTACAAAAGTTCAAAATAACGGCAACGAATTATGCATATACATTATAATTTTGAAAACCCAAGTTTTCGCACCCCCTGGAATATTGTCTCGCACCCCAGAGGGTGCGAGCACTCCCGGTTGGGAACCCCTGAGTTAGAACAATCAGTGGAACAACCTGCCTCCAGAAGTTGTGAGTGCTCCAACACTGGAAGTTTTTAAGAACTTTGTCTGAAATGATATAAGCTTTACTGCCTGAGCAGGGGGTTGGACTAGATGACCTCCAAGGTATCTTTCAACTTGTTGTTGTTGTTGTTATTATTATTATTATTATTATTCACACACACACACACACACACAGTTTTAAACAGGGCTTTTTTTGTCATAGAACGCCCAGAACGGAGTTCCGGCACCTTTTTTGGATGGACCCTTGTAGGGTAGGCAAGGCGGGTTGTGTGACATGTGTGAGTCCGGCACCTTTTTGTTTTTTAACAAAAAAAGCACTGGTTTTAAATATATGATTTTGAGATGTGTTTTAATACAAGTAGCTCGGGTTGGTAGCTGGGCTGTTGGTTTGATCTCCAGGCTTGATAATTAGGTTGCAAATGTTTCGTCTCTGGGGGGACATCTTCAGTGCGGTTTGAATTGTGTTCGGTTTGTTTGGAATGTTGCTTCCGGTATTTCAGTTGAAGCAACTCTCGCTCTCAGGGGTTGGTAGGCAGGGTCGATGTTAATGTGTCTGTTCACTGATTGGTTGGTGGAGAACCAGGCCTCATGGAATTCTCTCCTTGACTTTACTTGGGTTATAATTGTGGTCCCGGTTAGATTGAACTTGTTTCCTTCCGAGTCCTTGTGGACAGACATGAGGGACAATGGGTCGTGTCTTTTGATAGCCAGGGAGTGCTTGTGCAGTCTGGTAAATAGGTTTTTTCCAGTTTTCCCACATAGTTATTTTCACAGTTGTTGCACTGGACTTGGTATATGACGCCTGATCTTTGATTTGTTTCATTGTCCCTCATGTCAGTCCACAAGGACTCAGAAAGACATAAGTTCAATTGTAGCCTATGGATAATCCTAAATGGGTCTTGATTAGAGGGCAAAATTACATCTTATTCTTGAGGTAGATAAATGAATTTTCTTTTCATTTAATCATTGACCAACAATACTTATTCTGAGATGAGGTAAACTTGATTTTATAAGTTCAAGCTTTATCATTGGTAATTTCATGCACTATTCTCTTAGCTTTCTTTGGTCACTTTTTCTACCTCTTCATTGACTAAATTCATGCTACCATTATCAAAACTATCTGCTATGAATTTTTTCTTAAACTCAACAAATGCCAGCAAAGGCTCTCCTTGAATAGGTTGCTATTTTTGTTTCTTTTCAAGCACCCCTGCCTTCTAAATCATGCGCTATCCTAGGAGCTAAAGAAGAAAATACTTCCAAACTTTAAAAGGAAACAGCTGAGTGTTGACCATTGTCCTGGGAGAATTCACTCCTATTAAGTTTCTATTTATATTGTTCTCCTTCTCCAGTTGTGACAGGAAATTTTGACGGAGAGGGAGACAGCTGATGCCAACAAAAATCTGTAATAAAACATACTGTATGTTATATGGTCACTTTTCTTTAGAAGAGCCTGTCTGAATAGCAAACTCATGATAAGATTTGAGGAAGGCATAAAGAATTGAAATGGGCCAAGCTTATATCAGCAAAGTACAGGGTCATCCAAATTAACAGTGCCTTTATCCTGGAGAATGTCTAACTATTGATATTCAGGAAGTATAGTTTCAATTTGAAGAAATATCGTTATCATACTGCAGTGATGGCGAACCTTTTAGAGACCGAGTGCTCAAACTGCAACCCAAAACCCACTTATCCATCGTTAGGTGCCAGGTGGGTGTGGCTCATTGGGTAGGCGTGGCTCATTGGGTGGGCGTGGCTGCGGTGGTAACAGCAGACGGGGTGGGACTAAAAAGTTCAATCAATTCCAACTTTGCAAGATCTTTTTTTTTCTCGCGAGAAGTTGAAATTGACTGATTGATTGAACCTTCTTTTTTTTTCCCATGGCGGCAGAGGCCTAAAGCGAAAAGGTTTTATAAAACCCAGCTGAAGGCCTAGGACTGGGGCGACGGTGTGCGTGCCCACAGAGAAGGCTCTGAGTGCCGCCTCTGGCACCTGTGCCATAGGTTCGCCACCACTGTCATACTGTATGTCAATTCTATAAAAACTTGTCTGCCAACAGAAATTACTAGTGATTTTAACTTTTATTTAAAATAAATATATAATTACAATTTGTAGCAAATTAATGTTGAACCACAAGTCCTCAAGTCCACCATGTGTAGAATTATTATCCATTGGTCTAAAACATACATTAGAAAATATGATTTAAGCAGGATCAAACTTGAATAATATTTAGATAGAAGACAACTGGGAATCTAGGGCTATAGAAAAGATGGGGAAGTCAAAACAATACATGTAAAGAATGCAAGTTGAATATATTCATGTAGACATGAGGAGTCAAACTTCACTCAGTAGTCTTTGATCAAGCAAATGTCACGAAACAGTGAGGAAGATTCCAAGTACATCAAAAATCTTAAGCCAGGTGTTCTCTTCTTTTAAAAAAAATGGTTTTAAGAGAACAAGAAAGCACAACCTGTGATCCCTGTCATAGGGTTTATTCAGAACTGCTGTTGAATTATAATTTTCATATTTCAAAACAGGAAAAGTATTAAATGCATGTAGAATAAGAGTGCAATTAATGTACCTTTAATGAACTGCACCTTAAATTGTATCAAATTTAAGGTCTGTTTTATTATGCAAGTTGTGACACATCAATCCTGTTGTGGTGAACAGCATGTCAAAGTTTGCATGCATCTTATTTTTGCTTAGGAATAGATTGGAGATCTCCCTCCTCCAAACAACTATGTTGTCTTCTGCTTTTTAAAAATATTGTTTAGTTACCAATGAAAACTCTTGTAAGGAAAATTACATATTTTCCAGTGTTACCCAAATACAACCCTGGAATGTTGCTACTGATAATGGAATGCTGTGAATTCATTCTTAAGTTGTCTTGTATCCATGGAGCAATGATCTAATATGATAAGCTTGGCCTGCTATCAAGGTCTATCTTAGTTTAGCACTTTTTTCTCATAGTAGCTGACAGATGCCTCAGGGATGTTTGAAGCAGAAAGCAGAGCATTTTATTCTCCTCAGTTATTTTGCTGCAGTTGGTATTTGGAAGTGTGCTGTCCTGCTCCTTGGTAGACTACCTTCCATAAATGTATTCACCCTTCCCTCCCCCCATTTAAGCTTGTTTGAATTAGTGGTCATCGCTACATTTTCTGATAATTTCATAATACTAATTATGTCTTGTGAAGAATACTTTGATAGAAGGAACCTGAAGCATGCTCATTGGGCCAGATTTTGTGGGATGAGCAGAAAAAGTTGGAGATTGGCAGTCATGCAAATAGCCTTTTACCATGAAAGGTTTTATAGATGAAAACCAGCATTTTAAATTGCATCTGGAAGCCTGTATATATGTGACAGTCAAAGATGATCACCAAAGTCTATTCCAGCTGAACTTTTGCTGGATTCCCCTGACAAAAACCATTGCCTGCCATATGGGAAAGATCCTAGATATTTGTTTTAAAATATTGTTTTAATTGTTTTAAATAGATAATTGTTTTAAATAGAAGCTGCTTTAGGGGGATTGTTATTCTAAACAGTAGGATATAAATAATTGCCATAAATATATTTGTATCTTTCTGTTTTATATTTATGTAATAATTATTTTTACTTTATGTCTGCATTACCTTAATTATAAATAAACTTGGATGTTTTTTTAAACATGTGGCAGGTGTTTAATAACTATACATAGCTATCATGACATGGGGCAAAAATGTATATATTGATTATAAATTGCCCTTTTTACAAAAGCCAAATAGTTGCTGCCTTCTAATGTTTTCTTTAGGCTGGTGCTTTCCAGATATCTTGGATTACAAGAATTGCCACCATTGAATCAAGATGGACTGGTCAAGTGTCAGTACTAAAATCCCACAAGTGTATATAGCATCAATTTGGGGAGAGTGCTTAACATGTCAGGAGGAAAATAGTTGATGAAAATGTTTGTTACCTTGGCAAACTATTAAATTGCTCATATAAAATTAATCATTAATTATGAAAAGCTACATTTATTTTATGTGTTTTAATATTGCTTATCTTTTTGAGCATTTAATTCAGTCTGCCTTTTATAGATATTGCGCAGTTCCATCCCAAAGAGAGCTCAGCAATTGTATGTTCCTCTTCTAAAGAGTATCTCACAGTTTACTATCCTTTACCAAAAATGGGACATTCTGCAGTTGGTTGAAAGATAGAAACAAACAAATCTTTATTTTTTTCACGTAGCAATATTCTCCAATCTGATGTGTTCCATATCTGATTAATTATAATTCCCACTATCCCATGTCAAATAACCATTACATATGGCCATTACATATGCACACTATTTTCCCCTTCTGGCCTTTTTTTAAACCAAATAATAATTTGTGCATCCAGCACAGATATTCATATTTTAATTTGAATGTACCAGATGCAACAAAAAGAAGAAACTATTAAAAAAAGTAAAATTTGAAATTGATGCAGAGGTGTTTAATGCAGTGGTTTTGTTATTATAATGGGCAGCCCCTTTAATGTGGTTTGTGGTAGATTCATCTCCTACAGAGTTTTAAGGGGGAAATAGTATGAGGAAATTTCTGCCGAATCAGTTTTTTATTCATCTGAAGAATCTGGAAAGAAAGAACAAGATAATTGAATGACCTCTTAGTAATTCTTTTTTTTAAAATGTTAACTATGTGTAACCTAATCATGATATAGTTAGCTATACATTTTCATTCAATGGAACCAAGATTGTTTCCAATAATAATAAAATACAGCAAATGCTGTTATTTATGGCTGCAACAACACAGAACTTTGTTGAACAGTCTTGTGGAAGAGGCCAGTTTTCTGTTTCAAAAAGACACAAAAGGAGTGCAGTTTTGAATTTCACAAATAGTTATTAGATCAATAAGAAACTCAATTTGTGTAATCAATTAGTGTCCTTCCAATTAGTTTTTCTCAGTGAGGAGTTGCCCAAACATTTTATGAGAGGAGAGTATCACACTTGTGTCTTCTGTAATACTGTAATTATTGGTGAACTGATTGGTCACCATCAGTTTTGCAACATCCTGAAACTTCCATGACATTACCCTCTATTTTCTAATTTCATTTTTCCCCTTCTCATTGCTACTTTGAGACTTGCTAATGTTAAAATATTTAGCACTAGCATCACCTTCCACACCTACTTTCAGGACTAAGAAAAGTGTTAATATATGCCAGAAAACATACATCTTTTTCTAATCATACTATATAACAATTTAAACAAGAAATGTTGAAAAAGTACTCACTTTCAAGATTCTAGCGTCAGCCAGACATGATATGCTTGACAAAAGCTGAGGAAAATAAAAACAGAAATTTAGAACTAATACAGGTTAATCTGTAGATTATCGGAAATAATTGTTTTACATAAAAATATTTTGCAGATTTAGTCAAATGTTAAGTCCCATCATAGTCGGTGCAGAGCCTTCAAAATTCAGTTCACATAATCTAGATCATTAAGTATAATAAAAATAAAAAAAGGATTTGAAAGGTAGTTCCAGATGGCCTGAACAAGCAAGCTATAACACAGTCCTAGAAAGCATTTTTTTCTTACATTAATTCAACATAAATTGATAATTTATACATTTCTATCAATATTTTTAAATGGGACACTGGCAGGGAACTTGGAAATCAGTCTTCCTCCTCCTCAGCTGGCCTGTGAAACTGCCTGCCACTTTGCTGGGGGGATGGGGAATAAAGGAAGCTACAGAGCATAAGGAAAATTGCACTCTCATTCCCCATTCTGGCATGTCCCCAGGGACTCCCTCCTCCAGGGAGGAAAACGGCTCACCCATCACTTATGCGCATCCTTCAGCCAGCTATAACATTACTAGTAGGCATCTAAGCCCCTCCTTCCCTCACTGCCTGCTGCTGTTATGAAATTTCAGATTTCAGCCTTTGTTCCAAAGCAGCCAATCCTCTCTTATCTGTAGGGACTTGCTGCCAGTTGATTTGGTGCAGGGGCCAGAGAGATGGGGAAAAGGGCAGGGAAACAGTTGTCCCATCTTCCCTTGCACCATGCAACTTATGGGTTTCTGGAGAATATAGCTGAAAAATTTAGTAAATGCTGAAATGGCCACCACTTCCCCCAATTTCATTCTTGGTCATGATTCCTGGCATTCTGTAAATTATTTCATTTAAATTAGTTTGTTTTAATAATTATTACCCTTCCAATTTTGCCCAGTTGATGGTCACAAACTGATAAGATTTTTACACATACACAGATCACAACTGAATGTTTGTTTTTGTTTTACATTTCTTGCTGTGTTCAGAATCTTCAGATTGGGCTCTATTGCAATAATAGTGAAGAAATTTTGTAGATAGCAATAGCACTTAGACTTATAAACCACTTTATAGTGCTTTACAGCCCTTTATAAGCAGTTTACAGAGTCAGCATATTGCCCCCCAACAATCTGGGTCCTCATTTTACCTCAAAAGGGTGGAAGGCTGAGTCAATCTTGAGCCAGTGAGAATTGAACTGCTGGCAGTTGGCACAGTTAGCCTGCAATACTGCATTCTAACCACTGTGACACCACAGCTCTTGGATGGCTATTTACATCTCTCTCTCCCACCCCCAATCCTGTCCTTTGATCATCAAAATGGTGCCAACCCCTGCTGTAAAGACAGTGCAGGTAAGTAAGTGACAAAAAAGTTTTGATCTTAAATTTAAGAAATAATTTTTATAGAAAGTTAAATGGCATTCAAATTCTCAGGCCATTCTAATTGTATCACTAACAGGAGGAGTCCTTATGTCCCAAATAGAAAGCAGCTGAATGGAGTGGAAAGCCTACCCAATCATATTAATAGAAAGCTATGTTATTGCAGTATCAATCTTTATTCTAGCAGTAACTTCAGCAGCCCAAACATTTCAATATTGTTTCATTCTATTTCTTCAGAGAGCCACTGTTTATTCCTGACTGCTTTGTATTCAGACTTCTGAGAAATAAAATATCAGCAGAAACTTTACAGCATTAGGAAGATTTAGCAACAGCTCCAGCAATAAACAGCAAGTGCAAAGGGTCCGTTTAAACAGATTTTTTAAAGTGGGTTTGATCCACTTACAATACCTTCATAGTTGATGCAGCCATTACCATCTTCTTGTCCAGCCATCAATTGTTCAACTTCACTCTCTGTCATCTTCTCGCCTATAAAATAGAAATCAAATGAGTTTAATTTTGTTTCCGTGCTTATCTCTGAATGCAGGAGAAGTACTAAGAACAGAAATGGGAATTACTTAAATAATCTGGTTGTTGATATTAAATAAGATCTAGTTTTGTCTTTCTTAACCTGCCATTCTCCAAATCTATTTGGATTGTAAACCACAGAATGTTTAGTTAGCATGGACAAAAGAATTCTGAAAGGCACCAAGTCAAGGACAACTGACAAAGACAGATGCTTAGCACAGCAGAAGCCTCCAGTTATTCCATTGCTATGTAGCTCCTGATGCAGTTGCATATGCAACAATAATCCCAGAAATATGTGTAGTCACAAAAGAATTGCATTTGCCAAATGAGAGAATGAATTCTTGCAAGAAATGAATGTTCCGCTTGTTTTACATATGAATGGGAATTGTGACAAAAATGAAGAAAATTAGAAAACCAAGCAATACAGAAATGCCTTCTATATGGGCTGCTATGCTTCCATAATCATAAACAGAGGTTAATGCCTGATAAGTTTACTCTGAGATTTTTAAGGGTAGGGCTGTTCCTTTATTATAAAGTATTATTGAAATGCCTTAGTCACTTTCACACTTGGGCCCCTTCTCCTGTTCTAGGCATTGATCTTGCACAATCAGTTAGAAAAAAAATCCTAACATGGCAGCCCCATAAACCACAACATATTACTATAAAGACACACACAAACACACAGTACTTGTAGAAGTATCACAAAAAATAACTTGCTTTAAATTCCAATCTACTGTCTGAACTAATCATATCAATGTGCTATATAGTGCATGCACACTAGAATATGTATGAACATATGGATTATTTGAAAGACAGCAGACAGATTGGCTAAATGCTAATTATTCTGAAAGGCCAAACCTTGCCAAAACATAATTTTTGTTACAAATTCTACAGATATTCTACTTCCTTCAACATGCTATGGACTAAATTCCTTCCTGTACCTAAAGTAGCAAGAACATGACGCAGCTCAGCTCCCATGACAGTGCCATTTCCTTCCTTGTCAAAGACACGCAGTCCTTCCACAAAGTCCTCAAAAGTCCCTTGGTCTTTGGATCTGGCAATGTGTTGAAACATTGGGAGGAAGGTCTCAAAATCCAGCATCTTTGTGTTCATTTCTGACAAGAAAGAACATGATGATGACAAATATCAAAAATAACAGTTCTGATTCATTCTCTGTCTCTGTCTGTCTGTCTGTCTGTCTGTCTGTCTCTCTCTCTCTCTCTCTCTCTCACTCACACACACACACACACACACACACACAAACTTCCCCTGTGTGTTACAGTTTCCCCATTTCATCAGTATAGCTTCTTGTGACAACAAACTTGGAAACTAATTCAAGCAGATTTGAACTTGGAAAGGATATATTATAGTTTAGAAGAATTAGGTTTGGCAATTGCTTCTAGATCAATTATTGAACATGCAAATGTATAGTTTTATGATAGGTAGGAAACTTCTGGAGTAGGACATGAAAAGGGCTGAATCTTTCCTGTATACACGTACCTTCTGGCTTTGGTTTCCCTAGCACTTTCAAGACCTCTGCATTGGTTGGGTTCTGTCCCAGGGCTCGCATGACATCTCCACATTGGCTGTATGTGATTTTCATTTCTCCAGTTGGGGTCCTGTCAAAGAGCATGAATGCTTCCTTGAACTCTGGGCAAAAAACAAAATTCCATTAGCTCTTAGTATTAGCAAAACGTTTTGTAGAAATCCTTCCTAACCAACATGTGGAAATAGTTCAAAGAACAGAAATGGAGGCCTATTTTTTCTATATATGGGAGTTTTGGAGTTATATTTATCTGAACTTAAAAGAAAGCACAACAGCTAGACTAGGTAGCAAACAGAAATATTAGAATGTATCTCTTTCCATGTGAGAAATTATAAAGCAGAAAGTGATTTGGGCTGTTGTTCTATGGACATTGGAATGGGACAATTGGCTGTGGCCACCTGGCCATGCCCGCTTCACCTCAAGTTCTCCACCACAGCTGACTCATCAGAGGTGCTCATCATCAACTGCTGCCTGCCAGACATTCCACACTGTTGTAGGGCACCTCTGGGCTGAACACTGCAGATTCGTGGCAAGGCAGCAGGCAAGCGAGCAGAGATTCATGGTTTTCTGAAAGGGAAAAAATGGCTAATAATAGAATCCTTTCAAGCACACCCAGAAATCAGGAATTGTTTCATTTCCTCTGCTAAACTAAAAAAAAACGTGCCTGGCCCCACTCTGCACCCAGCTCCTCTGAGATGCTCCAGCATTGTGAGAAGGAGCTGGGTGGAGAGAAAATTCATCCAGTCTTTTTATTGGTTGCGATCTGTCACTCCTTTCACCTAACCCTAACCCATCACTAGCTGGAGGGGGCAGGGTGGGGCTGGGGTTGAGGCGGAGGCGGACCTGGGTGGCTGGCCAGGGTGGACTCAGGCAGAGCCTGGCTAACCGTGGCATTGTGGGGTTTTTTTTTCGTTCACCATGTCAGAATCTGAGCATAGATCAACTCCAAAACATTTTGAGCAATGTCAAATTCTGGCATTAATTCATCACGGTATAAAGAAACTAATCTAGACCTGTGATTGGTAATCTTATAAACGATAGTAAGTCTCCAACCCCTAATTTTTAACAATAGCATTACAGTAGCAGGGTTTCTTTTAGTTTGGCAGAAAAAAGGAAGAACAATTGGGGCACAACAAGGTGAACTTTCAGCCAACTCCTTCTTCCAAGTTCCATTTAGAAACTGAAAACAAATTCCTGATTTCTGGATGTGCTTGGAAGAATTCTATTATTAGCCAATCACTCCCTTTCAGAAGCACCTCGAATCTCCATCTCCCCACCTGTTGCCTTGCCATGAAACTGCAGCATTGAGCCAAGGGGCTCAATGAAAAAGCATGGAACATCTGGAAGGCAACAGCTTGCAGGGACCCACTGAATCGTTCCTCTGGTTTGCTTTCTCCTTTTCTTTTCACCATGCCCATATACGAGACCACTCTGAGCTCGCACTTTATAACCAAGTCACTTCCGCTTGTGCACACACAAAGCACAGTGGGTCAGGAAGCAGCGCTTCTTGCCAGGGGAAACAACACATTTGCCCATATACACACCTTTCCAGTTTCCACTTTAGGAAACCGGGACACCCGGCTAATTGGCCAGGGACAAGTGTCCCTCAGCAAATTGCCTGGGACGAGGGGGCAGGGGAGAAACAACAGGGACTAGTGGTGGGAGAGGAGCACTGGTGGAAGACCAGCCAAGAATGACTTCCCATGATGAGTCAGCTGCAGTCGGGGGGGGGGGTGTTAAGGTGAAGCTGATGTGGCCAGGTGACCATGAACAACTGTCCTAGAGACCCTATGAACACATACTTGCAATGTCAGCATCTCAAAGCTCTTGTATAATAAAGAGGAAGAAAACAGTTAAATATTTTAACATAAAAATTAATAATGTTCTTCGAATATATTGAACAAATAAAGTGGTAATATAAAAGATGTGCCAGGCATGTTATTTGTTCCAGCATATTCGTTTGGAATAGATTACAGGAAAAGGTAGAGAGATTGGAAAGCCGACTGACTTTGGGCCAGTCACTTTCTCTCAGCACTAGGAAGAAGGCAGTGGCAAACCACTTCTGAAAAACCTTGCCAAGAAAACTCCAGGGACATCCAGTAATTGAATACAATTGAACAGAAGGGGTGGGGAGCTTTTAGTTGAACTTCAAAAGAAAATTCCTAATACTAAAAACAGTATAATCAACTTGGCTCTGAAGAGACATTTGAGCAGAAACTGGAAGCCAATGCATTCAACATTGTAGATTTTTATGTTGAACAGATCAGAATCATCATTTTTAAGAATGCTTCTATTTCTATAGTATTGTACTACTATTCCATTTAAAGGAATCATATTTATTGGCTTTTTGGTTATTAAGTTAACTTAAATCTATTTGTGCTTAGATAATTCCTAAATAAACTATTCTATGTTTTGAATCTATGTTTTATTTAAAGTTGCAGGAAGCTTACATTCTTTTGTGTAGCCATCTGAAAAGAAAAACAGTGATTGAACTGAAACCTAATTAATAGCATAATCCATGTGGAGCCATTGGATTTAGTAGGAATGATTAAGTCCCATTGAATTAAACAGTATACTTATAGTATAACTACTGTATCTGGATCCTATAAACTGGGTACTACCTGAAATGTTCAGTTTTAATTTCAGCCCAGAATGTTACCTTCAGGGATGAATATTTCTGGAAAAATCAGAATTATGTTATTTTTGTATGTGATAGGTTTTAGCTTCTTAACTTGCTGCATTATCCGTTCTTTATCCTTTAATTCTGCAAGCTGAATAAGAACAGTCCTGCTGCATTGATTTGCATTTGATTTGTCCCTTTTCTGTGGTAGTCGATAGGCTTTGTCCACCACAATGGTAGGGCCTCCTAATTTCAGAATCTGTGGTAACCATTTTTCTATGAAGGCTGCCATATTGTGGCCCTCTTCTTTCTCAGGCAAGCCATGGATCCTGAGAGTTCGAAGTTGCATTGATTTCTTCATCTGTTTCATGTAGCAACTGAGGTGTTTATTTTGTCTAATTGAGCAATCTAAATCCTGTCTGCATTCTTGCTCGTGCTCAATTATAGAACTAGTTGCAGCAATTGACTGGGCTAGGCTGTGAATTTGCTCTTCCAACATATCCATCCGTGAATTCAAGGCTGAAATTTTACCATCAAAATCCTTCACTACCTCTGAGGCACGGTCTACTTTTTTCTGGATCTCCAACATCACCTTTTTCATGATTGTATCTCTACCATTGAATGATTACAAGAAATCAGTGCCAATGTGCAACCTCAGACAAGTGGAAGCCCAAGTGTCTTAAGCTCCACAGAAATCCTTGGGCCACAGCAATAGTTGGGTTGGCTTGTTATTAGGTCATCAGTGACATCACAATGGCTAATAATATATCAAAGGATTTGTAAACTGGATTGAACCTCAAGATTGAAATTCAGACCACCCCAGTGCAGTTTTTCTACCTTCCCAAACTATTGCTTGAGATTTAGCCAACAATTCCCATAATTTGTAGATAACAATGTCTTTTGCCATACTATCAACCAAAATAAAATATAATTCAACATATCTAATCTTATCTAGGTTTCGCCATTATATGTCTCTTCCTCTGAAAAAAGGGAATTGCTAGTATTCAAAAATACAGGTTAAAACCCATTGAAATATTGTGAAGTTTCTATATATAGGTAACATAGCTGCTTATTCAATAGCTTTCAGGTGGTAAAAACTATTATACAAGGCTATTGTATATTTGCATCTGTCTTCATGCAAAAAAAAATAATACATCCCAACCTACCAAAAACATAACTGTAAAAAATAGACTAGGAATATAAATTAACATAAGAAAGAAAATGGTAAAAGAACAGCTGTCCACTCTAGACACATGCCATAGTTCTGAAGAAGCTGGCAGATATGATCTCAGAACCACTGAACAATATCTTTCATAGATTCTGGAGTACTGGGGAACTACCAGAGGACTCGAAAAGAGCTGATGTGGTTCTCATTTTCCAAAAAGGAAAAAAATAGATCCAGGAAACTACAGACCAATCAGTCTGACATCAATACCTGGGAAGATCGTGGAAAAAATAATTAAGCAAAAGATCTGCAAACACTTAGAAGCAAGCAAAGTTAAACCAGAACCCAACATGGGTTTGTCAAAACAGATCATGCCAAGCAACTCTTATTTCATTCTTTGACAAAGTGACTAAATTAGTGGACCAACAAAATGCAGTGGAGATAATATACTTTGATCTCAGTAAAGCATTTGAAAAGTATACCTCAAACTACTTCTTGGTACGCTAAACAAATGTGGGATAGACAGCATCACTATCAGATGGATTTGTAACTGGCTGACAAACCGTACTCAATATGCAGTCCTTAATGGACTACATCTACATGGAAAGAAGTAAGCAGTGGGGCACCCCAAGGTTCCATTTTAGGCACAGTACTCTGCAACATCTTTATACATGATTTAGATGAGGGAATAGAAGGGGAACCTATCAAATTTGCAGATGACACTAAACTGGCAGGAATAGCCAACACCCCAGAAGATAGGCTCAAAATCCAGATGGATCTCGACAGATTTGAACACCGTGCCCTATCTAACAAATGAAATTTAATGTAGAGAAAAGTAAAGTTTTACACTTAGGCAAGAAAAACCAAATGTACAGGTACAGATTGGGTGAAACCTGGCTTAATAGCAATAACTGTGAACGGGATTTGGAGTCCTAGTGGATTATCACTTAAATATGAGCCAGCAGCATGCAGCACAGCCAAAAAAGCCAATGTAATTGTAGGCTGCATTAACAGAAGGATAGAATTAAGATCATGTGAAGTACTAGTACTGCTTTATAAAGCCTTAGTAAGACCACATTTAGAGTACTGCATCCAGTTTTGTTCACCATATTATAAAAAAGATGTTGAGACTCCGGAAAAGAGCAATAAAGTGCAGAAAAGAGCAATAAAGATGACTAGTGGGATGGAGCTAAAACATGTGAAGAATGATTGCAGGAATTGGGTTTGTCTAGTCTAATAAAAAGGACTAGGGTTGACATGATAGCAGTGTTCCAATATTTGAGGGGCTGCCACAAAGAAGAGGGGTCAACCTATTTTCCAAAGCACCAGAAGGCAAAACAAGAAGCAATGGATGGAAACTAACAAAGGATGGAAGCAACCTAGAACTAAGGAGAAATTTCCTAATAGTGAGAAAAATTAACCAGTGGTAAAGCTTGTGGCTGCTCCATCAGTGGAGGCTTTCGATATGAGGGTCTCCTGCTTGAGCAGGGGGTTGGACTAGAAGATATCCAAGGTCCCTTCCAACTCTGTTATTATGTTATGGTCTTTGATTTTGTTCAATCATGCTACACTATAATGCAAAACATGCCATTCTAATTTGTTTATAAAACCATCATTAAAAGTCTCAATATGGTATGTGAATGCAGCAAATGATCTGATAATAATTTTAATAATATTTTTTATCATAAATCCTGCTGAATTTAATGGCTTTCATGGTTTATGGTTTAATGTATTTTGTGAACTCAACTAATGGTGATTTAATTCACTAAAACATGGAAAAGTAGAAAGTAGCACACATATGAATACAATAGTTTTAAATCAACCATTACTTACCTTCAATCTGGTCAGCATTGAATTCAATCTATGGGAGAGAAAGGGAAAGGCATAATTATTAATTATTTGTTATTCTCCTTTTACAGTTTGACTCAACTTGGGTCAATCCATCTCTTAGCATGTACTGCATATTAAGGTTAGCAATAAGTGCACCATTTGAAAACTGAAAGATCAAATTAGGGACAGAGCATCATGGAGAAAATCTACAAGGTCACTAAGAGTTGACACTGACATGATAACACATAATTAGTCAAATTATTTGAATAATTTGAGGTGTCTACAGGCTTTTTAGTACATGTACAAACAAGACTAGAGGTAATCTTCAACTTATAACCAACTATAGATTCCAGAATTTTGATCACAAGTCATTATGGTTGTAAGTCGAGACACTACATGACTGGACATTTTATGATCATTTTTACAACAGTCCTAAAGTCATTCACTGTCATTAAGCGAATCCAGCCTATCCAATGGGTTTTTTCCCATGTTCTGCTGGCAAATGGCAAAAAATATCGCAAATTGCAATCACATGATAACAGAACACTGCCACCAGTCTTAAATCTGAGTCAGTTGCCAAATGCCCCAAATGTGATCATGTGACCATAAGGAAAGGGGCAGCAGTTGTAACTTTGAGAATAGGTCATAAATAGCTTTTGTAAAGTTTGTCATCATTTTGAATAGTTGTTAAATGACCGGTTATAAGTAAAGGCCTACTGTAGATAATTTCATTTACTCATTTTTTAAATCTGGTCATACTCTCTAGAGAGGAGAAGTCAATGCCAAAAAAGCCAACACAGTGCTGGGCTGCATTAACAGAGGGATAGAATCAAGATCACGTGAAGTATTAATACCACTTTACAATGCCTTAGTAAGGCCACACTTGGAATACTGCATCCAGTTTTGGTCACCACGATATAAAAAAGATGTTGAGACTCTAGAAAGAATACAGAGAAGAGCAACAAAGATGATTAGGGGACTGGAGGCTAAAACATATAAGGAACGGTTGCTGGAACTGCGTATGTCTAG